GATGTTTATATTTTTGAAATCATACATTGATGAGTGCTAAATGAGACAGATACTCATGATTCTTTCTTTTGTTTTTGTTTGTCCCTAGCTTCTGGACATCTGATGATCTATTGGACACAGCCATTTGCAGAACAAGAACCAGCCAATGAAAACGTCTATTGCCGATGCTATTGCTACAACCAGAAACTGTGACCAAATGCAATATACATGTTAAGTATTCAGACATCTGACAGACAAAAACTTTGACTTTTTTAGTCTGGTAGACTGAGCAACTGTTAAAAACTTTGAAAATGATAAAGTATAAGTATTGTAGCGTTTTAATAGATGTTAAATAGTAGTAAAAGAGTAGAATTTGACTTCCTTTGTTTTTCATAAACATATTTCCACGTAAGAGTTAAAATAGTACCGTACAATGTTATCCTTTTGATAGATCAGCTATAATATTAGAATCAGAATCATGTTACAGCCATTAAAAGTGACAGAAGTCACAAATTAGAAATATGCCTTTGCTCAAGCTGCAGCCGAGCTTTTGAGTTAAAAAATAGAGTAAAAATAGGAATAGATAAATGCATCAACCATAGATGCTTTCAAAAATAGAGAATATTCTTAGCCAGTGCTAATATCAAATGGTAAAGGGACCATTTCACAAGCATTTACTTCAAAAGTAGATAAAGTTAATTACAGTTTTATGTACAGTTTTATTAGATACTTGCCAAATTCACTTGTGTTCACACATGAGTGAATGTTGACTATGCAAAAAGTCCATATGAGTGTAGCCTAGATTAATGCCTAGATCGATGAGATAGATTAGAACCAACAGAGATTTAAAAGCATTTTGATGTATTTGGGTGTAGCCCAAAAACACAATAGTAGATATTTAGATATTGAGAAGTTTCCAGCACAAACACCATTGTAGAATTACTGACCCCAACCCCAAACATGCTAAAATAGATTAGCTCTTGTAAGGATAATACTAATTTGATTAATGATGTTCATTCATCCCAAACTGCCTGACAATAATATCTTTAGATAATAAAAAGTAATAAATCACTGACCACTATAGAAGTGTAAATGTTGACCATTTGTCTTACTGTGTTCACAGTTTTATTCCTGAGAATGAGAGTAGACATGGAGCAAAATCCCACTGATAATATGCCACTGATAATGAGAGTGTAAAACTAAAGAGAGATTTATTAGATTAAAATGTATGTTTAAGAATATGGCTCAATAGAAGCAAATATGCAAACATATTTGTAAATAGATTAGAATAGTTTTAAACTATAGTGAATAGTAAAAGTAAAGTACACAGTCTAAGATTAAAAAGTGAAAATAATACAGTGAAATAAGTGAAGTGTAGTGTAAACAATTGTCATTAGAATAAAAGTATAGAGTAATAAAAGTGAAATTAGCTTCAAATTTGAGACTCAGCTCGTTTTTGTCTGTGTTTTGACTGAATCTGCTGAGTTCTTGTGTGTCCAATAGTTTTTGTTTGTTTTTATTTTTGTTTGTTTTTATTTTTGATTTGTTTTTTGTTTGTTTATTTACTTTATTTTTCTTTTTTTCTTTTTTCCCAGGATAGAGGATAAAATCCACTGATATTGATTTGATGATTATGAGTTTAATGCATACATTTTCTTTGTTTTTAATAATTTTTTATTAAAAAGTTTTTTTTTTGAATTTTTTTTTTTTTTTTTTCTTTTTCCACTTTATTGATTGATCAAATTAAATGATCACATGTGATTATGTGATCAAAGGGGAGGGTGTTAGTATTAGATAGCAATATGGCCTACGTGCAGGACTGTACAAGGACTCTACAAGGACTCCATGTTATGACTATGATGTGACTGTCTCTTTGTGACACGTATGTCTTTCGATGTGTGACGTGACAATGACTATATAAACTGTGTACTGCCTTTATTCTGTCTGAGAAAAAGAAACAGAGTAAACCAGTGGAACTTGAGAGAAACGTAAATAAACTTCCAGAGTTTGGCACACCACGATCCGTCTCTGTCTGCCTAAATCCTAACAACGCGCACAACATCTGAGGAGCTGTGCGAAGCGGTGGGACCGCTTGTGGAGAGGCAGTTCCCACAGATAAGTAGGGGTGTGACGATATATCAATTTTTCAATATATCGCGATACTTTCTGCCTCCCCACTGTGGCTGGTGTTCCCAGAGGTTAAGTGTCTTGCCAAGAACACAACGACAGCAGACAGTGGGAGTCGATGGTGAAAGTCCTGAGGTGGGCTCGAACCCACGATCTTCTGGCTCAAAGCCCAATGCTCTACCAACTGAGCTACTGTCGCCCCAAATTTTAAAAATTATTTTTTAAATTGGTATCAATACTCAATATATGGCTACAATACGCATCTCCATTTATCATGAAATAAGGTGTATTTTCTATTTTATTTATGCCATAAATTGGCATATTGTATATTTCGGACCAATATATAGATAATCGTCATATCGTGATAAAATCGTTATCGATCGAATAATATTGTTATCGTGAGCTTTGTATCGTGTATCGTATCGTGAGGTACCCTTAGGTTCCCACCCCTACAGAGAATCGCATTGCCATTGCTATCTATAAACTGGCATTGCCAGATACAATACAATACAATACAAGACAATTTATTCTTGTATAGCCCTAGGTCACAACAGAAGTCATCTCAGAGGACTTAACAAAACCATTGAAATCACCAACACAGGTCAGAGAATCAACAGTTAAAACACATGAAGAATATAAAGCACACACAGAAGAAAATGTCCATACATGTTGTCGAATGCTAAAGTGTCCTGATCATCACCAATGCTTTCTGTTGAACACTAACTGTCCAACAAGACCCTCCTGCATCGACAAGGAAAAACTCTTAAAAAACACAGTGGGAAAAAGTGAGAAACCTTGGGGAGAACTAGGGAAACCCACAGGGAGGGAGACCCATTTGAGAAAGGGATCCGCTCCTCCAGATGTGAATGAGGCAAAAGAAATTGCCATACGTACAGTACTTACGCAGCGCAGGGCTTGCCACAAATCTACGGAGCAATCGATGGATCACACATCCCTGTACGTGCCCGATGGATGGCTACAGGGATTACTTTAACAGAAAAGGGGGGCCATCGATTACCCTGCAGGCTGTTGTGGACGATCAGCTGATGATCAGAGATGCTTTTATTGGGACACCAGGCAGTACTCATGATGCTGCAGTTTTTGCCACATCTAAATTATTCAGGTATATTTAATGATATATATTCAACAGCAATTACATGTATTTACCCATTTTAGACATTAGGGGTTTATACCCAACACTGTAATGTAACACTTTTTTCTAGGCACCCAGAAAAACACCCACAGGCAGACAAGGATATTGAAGGTGTAAAAGTACCTCGTTTTGCTGGTTGGGGACCCTGCATACCCTCTCCTGCCCTGGCTCATATATGGATTTTCAGGTCATAATCAAACACAGGAACAACTACTGTTCAATGAGCGCCTTGGTGCCATTCAAGTTAAAGTGGAGCACACATTTGGGCATCTGAAAGCTAGGTGGCGTGTCCTGGCCCACCATGATTTTATGCTAGAAGTGGTTGCCAGTTGTTGCATTCTGCATAATGTGTGTTAGGTAAAGAGGCAACAGCTTCCACCTGCAGGATTAAACCATGTACCTCAACCAGAACCACCTCAGGCCATGAACCAAGATGAACCAGACAGGAGTTCAAATCAGAAATCACAGGCTTTGGTGAATCACCTGCTCAGGAATTAAGTTATTTGAAAACCTTCAAACCTTTATTCAAGGCAAGTTAACATTAGAATGCATTGCATCAAATAAGTATTTTTTGTCCCAACAGTCTTGTAAAATTAAAATGCTGAAAACAAATCAGACCACAACATGTTGTCTTTTTTTTTGTAAGAAAGAGCCCTCTGAGTCACTGCATTTGACAGAACCAAACTGGTTTGAGAGCGATGAACCACTTACATAGAAAATATTACATAGTGTAGCTTTAACAAAATAAAGTGACATAAGTAACCTCACATCAGCCACAAATATACAACAAAATAAAGTAATACTTCAAGTTCAAGTAAGTGTGTTTACTTCAGAGTAAACAAGTGCAAATGGATAAAATACAATCGAACTATAACAACAAAGTGCCTAAACATTCAGAATAAGGCAAAAACACAGAACATAACTATTGAAAAGTAAAGATTCAGATCCAATTTCATTTGAACATATGACCTCTGAGGACACATGGACAAGTTAGTTACAATAGCTAATTTTTAGGCACATGTAACATTTTGGACTTGAGCCAAAGAGAACACAACACCTTCTCCATGTATAGAATCTGTCGCTGATTTGCTTCTTGTGGCTTCATTTCAACACTAAATTTTTATTTACCACCATCATGGTCAGTCTGTATAGTGTATGATTAACAATATATGATATTGTAGATGCCCCCAGGTGAGCTGTGGATCTCTGCAGAGTAACCATTGGCCTTGTGTCTTTGTGGTTCTTTTGAAAGAAGATTTTTGACACAACTGGCATTGGATTTAATTGAGTACGTTAATTAGTCTTTGTGTTTCCTAATTGTTGAGCCTCGATACAGCAGATAAAGCTAACAGCGATCTGGGGGTACAGAGACGACAAAGGACTCTATACCAGAGACATTAATTCATAAACGTTGGGGAACACTGGAAAATACTAAATGAGACCATTTGCCGAACTCTAATTGGAATAATTTATTTTGTGATTATTAATATATTGTGATTGGATATTCATAAGTGTGGGAGACAGGTGAGGAACTGTATGTGTGTTGCTGCTAAGGAAACTACAAAGGCAGCCACAGATAATAACAGAATAAGGCATAATCTACACATTACAGTATTTGGTACGACGGAGAGTGGCTTTGTGAGGAGGTTGCTGGCTCAGATTCAAACATTGCCTGGTGGTGGTGGTGGTATTGTGACTGCTGTGGTTGTGTGAACTGAGGGTGTTGGTGTTGTGCTGAGGGATGCTGCTGATGGAAGTAGGGGACCTGTGGGTGTTTTTGGTAGTTGGGAGTAGGATGTGGTTGCTGTAGGCGGCCAACTAAGGCCTCAAGGGCAGAAGCATGGCCTTCAGAAGCTGCTGTTGACAGCTCAAAACAGTCCATGGCTCGAGCAAGAACTTGGGTGATGTTGTTCAAGATAGCATTATCCTGCTGTACTTGCTCTTTGAGGATACTCTGTAGAGATGATCTTCTGCTTCTTGGGTATCTCCACCTTCCGCTTCTTCCATCTCCCACCTCATCTCCCACCTCATCTTCTGCCACGCTGGTGCTAGGGGGATTCGGTGGTGTTGCAGGTGGATTATCTTCAAACAATGCTACTAAAACACGATATACATTTGTTTCATGGTGCAGGGAAATGAATAATGAAACAATAAACAAACATGCATTTCACAGGGTAGACTCTAGACGACTGCTTTCTGCCCAACTGCATGCATTTTCATCTTTCATTACTGTCCTTTTTCATTATATTCTAATATTCTGAGGTTTTGAGTTTGAGGTTATTACAACCTGTACGACATAATGCCAAAGAGCTACGCACAGGCTCTCGTTTTACACACCAAGAGTGTGTCAAAAGAGATTTGTAAGTGTAATGTGGTTGTTCTAGCACTATACCAGCAGATGGTGCTGTTGTAGCTGGTTATTACAAACTGTATGACATAAATAATCAAAATCTAAACAAACAAAAGCTTGATATGTGTCACATAGTTAGTTTCACATTTTAGCATGAAAAGACAGACACACACACATTCATGACTATTATAATAAAAGTACAACTATAGAGCTATTATTGTATCAATAATATTTGTGCATGCGTAAACATTTGTGCGTATATTTGAATCTTTTCCGTTCTTCTCTTCGTACAACGTGGTTATTTACACACAGATTGTTCTGTTACAGATACAAATGTCAAATTACACACACACAAATCTGGATACACACACACACAGTCCAAGTTTCACTTGTGAATCAGCGAAGGCAGGATTGCGTCAAAAGATCTGTGTGTAAAAAAAAAACGTGTGTGTAAAACATACTTTTTTTGTAAACGTTGTTTTTTTACACACACACACAGATCTAGTTACGCACACATAAATCTTGATACGTACATATAAATCTACTTACACACGCACACATTTTTTTCTACACACACAAATCTGGATACGAACGCACAAATATTGTTGAAACAATATAGCTCCATATACAACACGGTACGACTTACAATCGTGAGACATTTCCTCCTCCGGAGCTCCAACATCTGGATCCTCCTCTTCCTCTTCATTCCCTAACAACAATACATTCAATATGTATCGCATTAACACAATTAAGAGGGTAATCATAACATCTTCTTTAAAAGTATAAGTTAGAAGAACTTACCTATGCTGTTAAGCACGGTGTTTGAGGATGTGACGTTTGGTCTCTGGCCCAGTATCTCATCCATCACAGGGAAGTACTTGAACAGAGTTGTCCCTTTTCCTCCAGCTCCACTTTTGCTGCAATTTCTTTTCACGATCATGTATTTCTGCTTCAGCGCTTTCCACTTCAAGCGTAAAATTTGCCACGGCTTTTCGTACCCTGCTTCATTCATTTCTCTTACCAGGTCTTTATAAATTGTTGCGTTCCTTTGCTGCTTTGTATCTAATATGTTTGTAATCCCCCTTTCCCGAATTAAATTTAAAAAGTAATAAGTCTCCTCGTGTGTCCAAACGTAGCGATTCATGTTTTGTTTTCCTTGAGATGCCGCTACCTGCTACTTCCTGTTTTCTTCTTCTGTGTTTTGGGTTTAACAACACCCGGCTTCCTCCGCTATATCAAATTTATTACTTCCATTGCCGTTTTGCAAAACACTTACTTTCGATACGTCCAAAAACCCACCGATTTTAAGCGCATTAACTTTTTATCAAAAAACTTTATTCGAAATTTGCGCGTTTCCATTAGACATTTTATGATACGCAAATTCTAATTTCGAAATTTGATACTCAATGGAAACGCAGCTTCTGATCCATGGTTTATCCACAATGCTGCTGTTACTAAGTTGTGGAACAGGGTTATTATTATAGATCCATTGACAGGGCACGTAGTGTAGTCTCCTTCGGCTTTCTCCTCACGCATTCGCCGACGCTGTTCCAATATTTAAAACAACGCGTTTCGCCTGTGTGTAATGAGCTGCTCTCGATGTTGAAGGTGATTTTGCTCTAAAAAGAGCAAACATAGGCTGAGCAGACATGCAGCACATACATGCTCAATGTTTTCCTCCGGTTCCGCATCTAATCTCCATGAGCTCTTGCTATCCAATAGGAACGCCGATCGTCACACGGGTCGATATGTTTATAAAAAAAGTTCACTTGCAAAAAGTACAGTCTGAATACGAACTTTTAGTCTCCTTTTCTTTAGTCTCCTTTAGTCTCCTTTACTTTAGTCTCCTTTAATCTCCTTTAATCTCCTTTAGTCTCCTTTAGTCTCATTAAGCCTCCTTTAGTCTCCTTTACTGTAGCCTCCTTTAGTCTCCTTTAGCCTCCTTTAGTCTCCTTTAGTCTCCTTTACTTTAGTCTGCTTTAGTCTCCTTTACTTTAGTCTGCTTTACTTTAGTCTGCTTTAGTCTCCTTTAATTTAGTCTCCTTTACTTTAGTCTCCTTTACTTTAGTCTGCTTTACTATAGCCTCTTTTAGTCTCCTTTACTTTATTGTGTTAGAACGTAGGCATTGTCCACACAGTCACATTCAGGCCAACATCCAAGAACACTTTTTCTATACATGCTGCTTTGGGAAAGGAGAGAGAGGAGGAGAGGACAGAGAAAGAGGAGAGAGAGCGGAGAGAAAGGAGGAGAGAGGACAGAGAAAGAGGAGAGAGAGTAGAGAGGGGGCGAGAGGAGGATTTGATTTTTATCAGACCTTTATTTGTCCATTAAACAGGCAAATGACATCACATATTACACATTGTAATGTATAGAAAAAGACAGTTTAAAAATCCGGACATAAATGTGCAAAATGTGCAAATACTGGCAATAAATAAACAATGCAATATATTACACACAATACAATCCATATGTTTACAACAATAAAAATGCAGAGAAAAACAGCTTTCCGTCCCTCACAGAGGACACCTCCCTCAGAGGATACCTCCCTCACAAAGGACTCCTCCCTCACAGAGACACCTCCCTCACAGAGGACACCTCCCTCAGAGGACACCTCCCTCAGAGGACACCTCCCTCACAGAGGACACCTCCCTCACAGAGGACACCTCCCTCACAGAGGACACCTCCCTCAGAGGACTCCTCCCTCACAGAGGACACCTCCCTCACAGAGACACCTCCCTCAGAGGACACCTCCCTCACAGAGGACACCTCCCTCACAGAGGACACCTCCCTCAGAGGACACCTCCCTAACAGAGGACACCTCCCTCAGAGGACACCTCCCTCACAGAGACACCTCCCTCACAGAGGACACCTCCCTCAGAGGACACCTTCCTCAGAGAGGACACCTCCCTCAGAGGACACCTCCCTCACAGAGGACACCTCCCTCAGAGTACACCTCCCTCACAGAGGACACCTCCTTCAGAGGACACCTCCTTCAGAGGACACCTCCCTGACAGAGGACACGTCCCTCACAGAGGACACCTCCCTCAGAGGACACCTCCCTCACAGAGGACACCCCCTCACAGAGACACCTCCCACACAAAGGACTCCTCCCTGAACCCCTAGCGCTCCTCAAACCCATCCTGATCCCCATTCAGCCTGTACAGCCCAAACTACAGCCTGAGTCTGGCCAGCCCTGGGACTTATCTCACTCTGGTTCTGGTCTCCTACTGCCCCATGCAGCAGCCTCCACTGCAGGGCCACCTGTCTCTTGGTCAGAGGGGGCTTGTACAGGGCCCCCCAGGCCGGGATGACGGCGGGGCCAAGGTGTGACCTCCACACAGTGTCTGTGTGGCCGAGTAGCATATAAAAAGGGAAAGCAACGCCACCTAGTTTTAAAAATGAGACTAGGACTCAATAAAGGAAGGTTCTTAAAAACAAGGTGAGCAGTGTAAAAACCAGAGTTTTAAAAGGGATAAAACAATTTATTACAAATAAAATTACAGAATAAAATACTAAAAATATAAAAGCAAAGTCCAGCTAAAAGTCCAGTAAGGACAGGGGCAACTCCGCGTTCCCAAGGCAGCAGACCTAAAACCAGAGGAGCAGGAGGCAGTAAAACGTTCTTTTTAAAAATAGAAATCTGTAGGTTAAAAGTGGGATGAATCCCGGCCAGAGCACTAAAGGTCACTTACGTGCACGGGCAGAGAAACTCTGCCCGCTGCGGTGATGTCACGTCGTGCTCTGGCTCCACATGAGGTAATGGCTGGCCAGGCCCCTCCCTGAAACAAAAACGGGTCTCCCACAGTAAAACTCCTTAAAAACAGATTTCTATCGGCCAGCAGCAGCCGTATGCCCGACCAGAGCACTACAATGTTACTTACAGGCACGGGCAGAGAGACTCTGCCCGCTGCGTGTAGTCCGCGTCGCGCTCTGGCTTTCCGTGGGTCCTATGCAGGTACTGCTGACTGCTGCTGCCGTTCTCCATTGCCTCCTCTCCTCGGTCGCCCAAGACGCCCTGTCGTCCACCTGTCTCCTCTCCGGCCCGGGACGGGGCCGCCGTCTCGCCAGCCACTTGCTGCCCACGGGTTGCCACTGGGCACACGCAGGGGAGAGCGGGCACATTCCATTCGTGATGTTGGGCCTAGCCCGGTGCACACACGCCTCTCTGCGCTTTCAATGCGCGCCCATCACCGGTGCCGCTCTCCCCGCTGGCCTCAGTCCCCCGTGGTCTCTGGCTGGCGGTGCCTCTCCTTTGGCCCAGTCCGGTGTCCTCCTCCTTCTTCCTCCCCCATAGTCTGTTTAAAAACCCTTTTCTCATTGGCTCCAGCCCCCAGTGTCTATGTCCATTCGTTAAAATCAGTGGAAGCTGCCACAGGTGTGAGGATTAAAAACAGGAAGTAAAAACACACAGTGCGGCACACAAAACACATTTCAAAATAAAAGCATGCATAAAAACAAAGTGCGCTGTGCGTCTACCCTGTGACATCTGCTCGGTCGCACAGTCTCTGGTGGTTCAGGGCCTGGACCATGAGATTCTAAAAGGTCTTCCCTGAGGCAGCCTCCAGAGAGACAGCGACTGGACTGGCCAGCAGGGGCCCAGAGGAGGGGCCCAGGTCTGGGCTGAGGATGAGGCTGGGGAAGAGGTCAGTGAGGTCAGGGGACAGTGAGCCTGAATTGTGTCCCTCTAACAGAGTCCAGTCCTCCTCTGTCAGACCCTCTCTCCAGAAACACAGGAGACGCTCCAGGGTGCGAGCCAGCCTCAGGCCCAGGTGGACTCCCAGTGCCTCCCAGTCCTCCAGCTGAGATCCACTGATATCTCGGAGCTGTTGCACCGAGACTACCCCCCCCTGAACTGTAACGGCCCCGCAGCACAGGCCCCGCCCAGGCAGGAAACTCCAGGGGCCGCTGTAGGAGCCAGTGCAGAGAGGAGCTCTGCCTCTTCACTCTGCTCCACACAGAGAACAACCCACGGTAGAAGGACGGGAGTCCAGCTGGTGTGTGGTCACTGAGGAACCCTGAGAGCCCCAATCCCCCCACCCTCTGCAGGATGGAGACTGCCAACGGCCCCCCGGCCTCTGCAGGATGGAGACTGCCAACGGTCTCCACAGCAGCTCTTCTGGCCCAGCTAACAGTCTCTGTAGAAACTGCAGCCTGCGGGACGCAGTGCAGCTTGTTCCAGAAGAAGTCTGTGATCAGTCTCTGGATCTGTGAGAGTAATGAGGGAGGTGGGTCTGTGCTCTGCAGCCTGTGCCACAGAGCAGAGGACACCAGGTTGTTGGCAATGAGGACCCTCCCTCTGTACGACATTTTAGGCAACAGCCACCTCCGTTTACTCAAACGCCCTTTAAATTGCTCCAGAGACTGATCCCAGTTCCTCTGGAAATGACCAGGGCCAAGGAACACCCCCAGGTGTTTAAACCCATCTGTCCTCCACACCAGTCCCCCAGGCAGGCTGAGACCCCTTAGGCCAGGGGTCGGCAACCCGCGGCTCCGGAGCCGCATGCGGCTTTTTAGTGCCCCTCGAGTGGCTCCTGGAGCCTTTTCAAAAATATCTGAAAATGGAGTGGGAGGGGTATGTTTTATTTCTAGTTTCAATGTGGTTTCTGTAGGAGGGACAACATTCTTAACCTTTTCCAATGTAGTAAAAATGTGCATGAGAAATATTCAATTTTAACATTTCTGTCAACTGAGATTTGCGTCATATCCTGCAACGCGCGGTTACGCGGCCCCGCACCGGGCGGCCGCTGTTGTAAACAAACCGGCATGTGCCACATGAATCCCGAAGCTATATTGAGAAAGAGTTGATAAGAACTGAGAATTCAGGGAAGAATGGACTGGAACATTCGCTTTCATTGTCAATGAGGAAGGACTGCTTCCTTTTTGCTTTGTGAGAATATATTGAGAGAGCAAAAAGAGTCATGTGGAAAATTGGCTGCTGACCCCAGTTTGGAGAAAAACAGTGCGATCGCAGTTATTCTGGAGCGGATTCATCTCCAAACTTCTACTGCTGAATTTTGTTGCAACACAAGGAACAAAGAAGTGCGAAACACCGTTCGGGACATTCAGCTCCAGCCAACTCCAGCCGTGACGACGTGTGACGTGATCGATATAAACAGACAGTGCTGTAATGCAGGTATGTGAACTCTGAGCCAAAAACTGATTTATTTGCTGTATTTCTGCAATTGCATGAATGCAACAAAAGGAAAGTAAAACTTAAAGCATATATCGTATAGCAGAGTAGTCACATGGTGCGTCATTCTCTTGCACTACAATGAAAATACATATAATAATCATGAATGCATATTATGTATTTGTAGCCTATAATTACTCATTTTGATAGTAGTGTAATACAGCTCATAGCCGGTGTTGCTTTCATATAAGCCTTATACAAGGCAGTTACGTTTATGCGGCTCCAGACAGATTTGTTTTTTGTATTTCTGGTCAAATATGGCTCTTTGAACTTTTTGAGTTGACGACCCCTGCCTTAGGCCCTCCCCGAGCAGAGTGGCCGAGCTCTTGCTCCAGTTGACCCTGGAGCTGGAGACCTGACCAAAGCACTTTACAGTGTCAGCCAGGACCTCCACATCCCTCTGGCTGTTGACAAAAACAATAATGTCATCTGCGCAGGCCGAGACTTTAAAAGGTGCTTCTCCAGGCAGCAGCACCCCCTGCAGGTCAGCTCTGAGCCGATGCAGAAGGGGCTCGATGGAGAGGGAGTAGAGCATCCCTGACAGAGAGCAGCCCTGCCTGATGCCCCTCCCCACACTGAACGGAGCACTGAGCCCCCCCATTCACCTTCAGTACACTCACGATGTCACAATAAAGAGTCCGGATGTGGGCAATGAACCCAGGGCTGAACCCAAAGGCAGTCATGGTCTGCCAAAGGTACTGGTGTTCAACCCGGTCAAACGCCTTTTCCACCTCTGGTTCTACCTCTGGTTCCACCCCCCTGGTTCCACCTCTGGTTTCACCTGTGGTTCCACCTGTGGTTCCACCTCTGGTTCCACCTCTGGGTCCACCCCTGGTTCCACCTCTGGTTCCACCCTCCTGGTTCCACCTCTTGTTCCACCCTCCTGGTTCCACCCTCCTGGTTCCACCCTCCTGATTCCACCCCTGGTTCCACCTCTTGTTCAACCCTCCTAGTTCCACCTCCTGGTTCCACCCTCCTGGTTCCACCCTCCTGATTCCACCCCTGGTTCCACCCCTGGTTCCACCCCTGGTTCCACCCCTGGTTCCACCCTCCTGGTTCCACCTCTGGTCCATCCTGTGGTTCCACCTCTGGTTCCACCCTCCTGGTTCCACCTCTGGTTCATCCTGTGGTTCCACCCTCCTGGTTCCACCCTCCTGGTTCCACCTCTGGTTCCACCTCTGGTTCCACCTCTGGTTCCACCCCTGGTTCCACCTCTGCTTCCTCTGTTGCAGTGAGGCAGGTGGCCTTCTCTGCAGCTCTGATAGATTCTAGAGGAGCTCAGTTCTTTGGGCCGTATAACACTGACACTACACTGGTCTATAAACATGTGGTCATCAACACTGGGAATGCCTACAACCCACACACAGGTACTATTGTCATGTGTGTACTGTCGTGTGTAATGTGTGTAATGTTGTGTGTATTGTTGTGTGTATGTTGTGTGTAATGTTGTATGTATGTTGTGTATTGTTGTGTGTACTGTATGTTGTGTGTTATGTTGTGTGTTATGTTGCGTGTAAGTTGTGTTTATTTTTGTGTGTAATGTTGTGTGTATTGTGTGTAACGTTGTGTATTGTTTGTTTTGTTGTTTGTAATGTTGTGTGTCTGCTGCAGGGATCTTCACAGCCCCAGTCAGAGGAGTGTACCACTTCCATGTTCATATTTTTGAAGTCTTTGGTGGAAGTTACTATGCGGTAGTTTCTCTGGTGAAGAATGGATCTAACATGTTTTCAGCCAACGCGTTACACCCAACAAGCTCGAACGGCTCCTCGTCCAACTCCATCTGTCTGCTGCTGGAGGCGGGAGATGTGGTTTATGTGCGTCTCTGGGCCGGCTATCGTATTTACGACTACATATATCACTACAACATGTTCAGTGGTCACCTGCTGTTCACCGTCTGACCTGGGACCTGTAACCTGTGACCTCTGACCTTTGACAGCATTAAAGGCTCTGTTCTGTCTTTTCTTTGTTTCTTTTCTTTGTTTGACTGAAACCATTCCTGTCAATCAACTTTAATGACACATGTCAGACAGACTCATCTGTCGCCTCAGGGGGCGGGGCCAGGAGGGAGTAAACAAATACAGCAGATAGCGATACAACAACAACCACACGCACACACAGACACACACTTTGTTACCTGGTGAGTCCCTAAGACAGGGCCGTTCCATACGGGACCCACAGCCATGGTTTTAACTCCTAAAATCTTGCTATAAAGTATATCTTATCTTATCTTATTTTTGCCAATACTGGGGTCACTTTAGAATGACTCTGCACTGATTTTCTTACTGGGACTACTTTAAGTAATACAAAACAGTCAATACAAAATAGACAACTCTTTTACAAGATTTTATTTTAGATTTTTTTTCCGAAATGCAGTGATTCTATTTTTGACATAGAATTTAATGCCACTCCATGTCCGATAAGGGCCGCTGGTGAGGCATTAATGCAGGCCAGGCAGTGAGACTTCCCAGGGACTTTTCCAGTCTGTATGAAAGGTGTCATGGTCTTCTCCACAACCTTCACCTCAGATGCAGATCATGGCTTTCTTACACGTTCTGGGGAGATAAATAAAAATATATTAAAAATATACACTCCCAGGGTTAGGGCCAAGTAGCCTGGCTGTAACCCTCCACCTGGTACACTTACCAGAAGGGGCACTGCCAGTACCATGCGGTGCATCTGGTTGAATGGTTGAAGGTTCTGCGCTTGAAGTTTTTTTTAGCCCGTCCCTTTCTGAGAGGATCTCTACTGCTCTCCCTGTAGCACAGAAAATAAAAACACGGGTGTAATAATAAACAAGAATTACCTTCAGGCTCAATTTGTATCTGATCGAGGCTCTTTCCTTTGAATTCCGTCACTCTTTCCTGCTCCAAAGCCATTTATACTTTGCCGATTTTGGCCAGCTCCAGCGGCCCCTCTGGTAGTCTGTAATATTGTCTGTGGATGCGAATGTCATGGCCGAGGAAGTTGGCTAGTATGTCCATTTCATTCTCTTTCATATTATGAACTGTAGACATAGTAGCTATGTGCTTTCTAAGTTTGGTTGAGGATAACATCTCTGGATGCACCGTACTACATTCTTTGGCCACCTGTCGTAGGGAGTGTGAGTGTCTGCGCCCGGCCGGGAGAAAAAGTATGGGTTTTGGTTGGAGATAGAACACGCCCTTCTGTTCTCCACCAGCACCTCCATCGAAGCAATCATTTCAGGAGTCAAAAGAACCGGCACTTTCTGACTTCTTTTCCCTTTAATTTCAATTCGTTGAAAAGGCTGACACAGCTTTTTCTCAATTTTGGACAGTCCCAAAGCAACGTCAGAATGGATCCCAGTCTTTCTTCTTAAAGTAAACGCTGTCAGTGCTATCTTTGAAACCTCACCTTCCCTTCTTCGATTGAAAATGATGACCTCACAAAGTGTCAAAACTTCCAGTTTAGACCAGGGGTTGGTTCACTCTTTAGGGTCTACACATATTCAGGGTGACATACCTCGATATGTGCATGCATGGCTCGAACGTCCTCAGTCAGAGGGAGCAGGTCCGGAGTGTTCCACTTGGCTTGCCGGAGGGTCTGTAGGGCAGCAGAAGAAACACAGACCTCTTCTCAAAAAGCAGCCGGCTTTTTTATAAACAGTTCATCAAAACAATGCTCCATTTTTGAGTCACATTCAAGAATATCTGCTAGCTTTTTGAGGCCATGGCTGAGTTTGAGGGCCAAGGATGGAGTCTTGTATAGATTAGTTTCCTCATTATAGCAGAATAGCAGAATCTCCTATTTCTTTTTTGAAAGATGAACAGCGAGAGGCGCTTTGTGAATTTCTGGACGGCAAAGATGTTTGTGCATTTTTACCTACGGGTGTCGGCAAACCTTGGTAGGCGGGCACACAGCGTCACTTCGACCAATCAGCTTAAAGTATTCTGCTGCTTATCCCTCCTTTCCCCAAAAGGATTCTCCTGCAGAAGTCCCAGATTGATATTGTGGAGAACGCATTAGAGTTCTACACAATCATCAATCTGGCTCTTGCCAGGTTACTCAGCGACTTTCGCTTAAGCAATGCAGCACAGTCTATACAGTGTAAAAAGTCACTGGATTTAACTGGAGATTTTGGCTGTTAAGCTGGGACTAAAGTTCCAATGCCGGCCTTTAAAACCTCAAAATTATGCTCACGGTTTCCACTATTCCTGATCAAAGCAAACTGAAGTTTACGTGCTTTAGATTTCACAGGTAGAGCCAATGCTCTGGCTACGCCACTTTCATTTCCATGTTTTCTAGACAAATGACGGGACATTGAAGAGTAGAGACAGAAGTGCCTCTTGCTATAAACTCTCGCCCCATTTTTCTTCTTTTGTAGCTGCATGAAAACAATCTTATTTGCCTTTGGTTCGTCATTTTCTGAGTCTTGGAGAAAAGTATTTTTGACTTTTCTTTTTCCATACTTTTTCACAGGTTTCTTGACAGTTAAATCTTCAGAATCTGAGTTGACTTCATCACTTCTGTTAAGGGACTCTTGACTAAGCTGCACAAACAACAAATCATTTTAATAATTCTATATAACAATTTGTAATCATAACGTAAGGTTAAGAAATTAACCCCGGTTCTCTGATAACATGAGTGAGGTATCTCACATATGGGAACGCTCTCTGGCTGTTTCCCCAGAAGCCCTATTTCACCATGCCAGTCAGACGTGACGTCACCTCCAAAAGGAGGCGGGGCTACCGCCTTCTATATAGAGCGTGACAGCACGTCTAGACATCAGTCAAAGCAAGCGCACCTCTTCTCGCTCCAGGCAAGAAGGGCGGTCTCACCTCACTCATGTTATCAGAGAACCGGGGTTAATTTCTTAACCTTACGTTCTCTTTCAACATTTCGTGAGGTATCTCACATATGGGATATAGAGACTCCCGTATTGTCAGACAAGCTTACTCAAAGACCAAAAAATATTAACCTACGGAGGCACTCGAGGTGGAGCCCTCACGCTCAGGACATTCTGAGACAGTGAGGGGCCCGTGACATCCAGTCTATATAACCTGGCAAAGGTGTGAGGCGTAGCCCAACTGGCCGCCGCACAAATTTCCTCTACCGAGGTACCCTGGAAGAGTGCCCATGAGGTAGCCATGCCCCGAGTGGAATGAGCGCGCAGTCCTCCAGGGGGCTGCTGTCCACTGCTATTGTAGGATGCTACAATAGCTTCCACTAACCAATGAGACAGACGCTGTTTGGAAAGAGGCTTACCCCTGTGGGGTTTAGCCCAAGATACAAACAGCTGCTCAGATTTCCAAAATGAAGCAGTCCTGTCCACGTACGCGCGTAATGCGCGCATAGGACAAAGGGCATGGAGCCGCTGATCCTCCTCCAATAAAAACGGAGGAGTGGAAAAAGCAGACAGCTTAATCGGAAGGCATGACAAAATCGGATTAAAGACTTTCGGCATAAAGGAAGGGTTAGGTTTCAGTAAAACTTTAGAATCTCCCCTTATAAACTGCATGACGCGTTCACAGACAGCGCGTGAATGTCACTCACGCGCTTTGCTGATGCCAACGCCAGCAGCAGAACCGTCTTAAAAGAGCGACATTTCAACTCTACTTCATGCAACGGTTCAAATGGCGGTCAAGACAGAGCGTCTAGCACTGTCGTCAGATCCCACGGAGCAAACAGGCTCCTTGAAACCGGTCTCAGGCGGCGAGCGCCTTTCATAAACCGGCTTATAAGAGGATGCTGGCCAGCAGTCTTATCTCCAAAGCCAACATGGCAGGCCGAAATAGCCGCCAGGTAAACTTTAATGGTGAAGAAAGCAAGCCCTTTATCCAACAAACTCTGAAGGAAAGTCAGAACAACCGGCACGGGACTTTGAAACGCGATGTGGCCCGAGTTTATGCACCACTCGTCGAAAAGCCCTCCATTTCCCATCATATGCACTACGAGTAGACGCTGCCCTAGCGCTCTGCATAGTAACAATTACATTATCTGGGAGACCAGTAGAGGATAAGTTCATCCTCTCACGGGCCAAACCCATAAAGCCAGGCGCTCTGGGTAAGGATGGAATATTTCCCCATGCGCTTGAGTCACCAGATCTCTGCGCAGGGGCAGAGTCCACGGGTGATTGCACAGAAGCTGAAATATCTCTGCTATCCACATCATCGCTGGCCAATATGGGGCCACGGGGATTAGGGAGTGTTTCTCCTCTCGAACACAAAAGAGAATCGGAGCAATCAGTTCTAACGGGGGAAACGCATACAGGAGTGTGCGTGGCCTTGCATGTGAACAATTCTATTGAACATTCGTGAGCGAAAGAAGGAAAAAGCCACTGGTGTGTGTCTTCGGACAGCTGCCGTGGCTCCATTGAGCTCTGTGTAGGCACGGCCCTCCTCTTTATGCTCTCTGCGCGTCGTTTCACCGCTCTCACTTAAACCACTTGGACACCGGACCGCGGAGAGGGGGTGGGTGTCTGGTCTGACCCGGTTCTCTCCTGCAGTGGAAGTATGCTAGGAGTCCCGCTTCTTCTTCTTTGCCCCGTGGGAGGCGGGCTGGCCCTATTGGGGTCCAGTCTTCGCTTTCAGGGCAAAGGGTCTCCTGGTCCACGCACCTTTGAACTCAGGAGGCGCGCTGGGGCTGCGTGGGGCGTTTGGAGTTGCGGTACGTGGCCTGTTCGCTTGGTACCGGCCGCGGAAGAAATTGAGAGGGGACTTTTGAAACGGGCACTTTTCTTGGGAGACAAAGCTGCAGCGCCTCACCCTCACGTTTCTTGGCCACATGCTTGTACAGCGCATTTGTGGAGGCGTAGGCAGAGGTCAGTGACCATGCATAGCTCTTCCCACATCTCAGCGCTTAGTGAGGCCGTGGACATTGCGGACCGCTGTGAGGGATGGAGGTGAGAGGCCACCAAGGGTTCGACGGGGGGAAGTCGGCTGAAGCACTTTTCTTCCATACCGTACCAGTCCAGCGCGGCCCTTCCCTGGGCGAGGGCTCTTGCGGTGAAAGGTTTTCCCCATGATCGAGTAGCTTCCTCCACGCACTCTGGGAAGGCGGGTAAGAGCTGTTTCTCCTCTCAGTGGTAACTGTGTCGGCTACGGCATCTCGGCCTGGTTGCAGCCTGAGACACGCAGCAGAGACAGAGTGGGAATCTGCTCCGGAGATTTTGTTCCCACATGTGCACAACCTTGGCTGTAGCATAGCGTTCTCCATTGTGGGGAAGAACGTGTGCTACAGCGTCTCGCCAGGCTAGTATTGCTACTGGCCCCCGCAGCATCTGTTTGGGGACAGACGTGCTGCTAGCTTTACAGCTAGTGAGTGGTAGTATTGCTACTTGCTGCGGTAGCACCTGTTTGGGGACAGACGTGCTACTAGCTTTTCAGCTAGCAAGCCAGTAGCACCTGTTTGGTTACTGACGTGCTCCGAGCTCCTCAGACAACGAGCGGTAATAGGTAGCGTTCGGTGTTGGAGTGATTAGCCCCTTCTATGAACAGTTTAGCTAGCCCGTTAAACACCAGTCTGAGAGTAAGCTTCTGGGAGCGAGAAGAGGTGTTAGACTGATGTCTAGACGTGCTGTCACGCTCTATATAGAAGGCGGTAGCCCCGCCTCCTTTTGGAGGTGACGTCACGTCTGACTGCCAATCAGGAGGCTGGCATGGTGAAATAGGGCTTCTGGGGAAACAGCCAGAGAGCGTTCCCATATGTGAGATACCTCACAAAATGTTGAAAGAGAACTTGTAGTCAGCACTAACCAGGGGTTTGTAAGCGTGCACTTCAGTGTGCTCCTCCATGATTTCTTGCAGCCTGATGAACCACACACCTGCACCTTTTCTAGCCTGACACCTGACTTCCTCTTTTGTGCTGCTCCATGATTGGCTCCAGCCTGCCTTACGGAAATGTGTGCCCCTCCCTGATATCCCGCAAGCCACCTCCAGGGTTTAGACACATAACACACATTTTTCAGGAAAGTAAGCCTCCAGGAGTCTTTTCCATGAGACTGCATAAGGTCCGTTGGAAAAGCATTACCCATTGATTTTTAAGCTTAGACCAGTGGGGTCCGGTGTTCGGCCCCACGATATAAAACCAGTCCCCATGACGTGAGTGGAATCTCAGGTTATGGACCCCTCCAGGAGTTGAAAACAAGTGCACACACACACACACACACACACACACACACAGACACACTCACAGTGTGTTTGTGGCAGAAGTGAAAGTGGTTTTGTGGTCAGTTTGCACCGCGACCTGAACTCTGGGTTCAGTGATGTCACATTTCAGTATTATGTTGTTATTTATCATTTATCTTTATTTATGTGAGAAAAGATATCATAAAACACACACTTATAACAACATTAAACACACCTTTGCCTGAAAGTGAGTGAGAAGAAGAGAATTTATTTAATCCTACCTCATTTTCCAGTTACACCGGAGTGGAGTTGCATGTTCTGCATGTGTCTGCGTAGGTTTCACCCGGGTGCTTCGGTTTCCTCCGGGTGCTCCAGTTTTCTCCGGGTGCCAGAGTTTCCCCTACCACTAAAAACATGTACAATAGGTCTGTGCCTCCTGTACTGTCCCCTCCCATCTCTATGGCGCTATATAAATAAACATTACTTACTCACAGCCTCTTTATGCTACTGTCACTCTACTGCACTCCTAAATGCCTCATGTGTGTACTTAGTGCACTTGTATTTGCAGTAAATTTAAGACATTTTATGTAGATTTGTTTATTTTATTTTCATGCATGCCTTTTTCTCTTTTACGTTTTTCTTGTTTGCGCCGAGAGCCAAAGCAATTCCCCAGTTTGTGCCTTAGCTTGCCTTAGCCTATGTCGTAAAGTGTGTGTTAGCAATAGCAACATTAGCTCTATATGTAACTTTTGTAATACTTTTCCATCTGATTCCAGCGATGGTCTCGTAGTCGCGGGGTTAGCATGTAGCGTGTGCGTGTAGCGTGTGACCATCCAGAGGCACATATGCTTCTACGGCTATTACTAATTTAAATAGATTGATTTATTTATTACAGGGGACCATGAAGTGAGCACATCCATTACGTCACACATGGCACACACTCAGAAAACACTGTAGCAGAGAACCTTAAACAGAATATATGTCTGAGGTCATTACACTGTAAACATTTTAGATATTTATTAGAAAAGTAAATAAATGACAATGTTGTTCTATGGTTTAATTTATTCTAAAGTGTTGGAAAAGAATGTGGGCAAACCATGAAAGAGCTCCCTGGTTTTGTGACAGATCAAGGATTGTCCTATTGTCCTTTAGTGGTGTTCTAATCTGTGACTCATGGAGGGTGCACTGAATAGCGATTTACTTATGAAGCTAAGCAGGACATGGCTTGGGTAGTACTGGGATGGGAGACCTGTGTCAACATCAGGTGCCACAGTGGGGCAAATTAAGCCATTTACTGACTAAGTGCTAAAACTGGTGAATATAACTGAAATACGGCAAAAACAGTTTAGTGAAAGGCTAATGCTGACTGTTAACAGTGTGTTGCTATGGTAACTATCACTGGCCAAACCAAACTGGACCAGAACCAGTCCAGGACCAGCACCAGAGAAAAGAACCAACTGCAAATCAAAGTTAAAGGTAGAAACTACTCCGATTTAAAAAATAGAAGATAATTTCATAAAAAGAATGAGTTAAACTACAAATAGAAGCAGAAGTCATGAAGTTCTGCTCTGGAATTTTACATTGCAAGACAAGTTTATATGTATAGCACAGACACAAGGCAACTCAGAGTGCTGAAGAGTCAAACAAGGCGCTAAAATAAATAATCTCAGTACATTAAACACAGTAAAGATAAAATCCCATAATAACAGGTCGACTTCTTCTCCTCCTGTTTCTCTCTGGATGTATTTGAGGAGACACACATTATGTCCCGCTGCAAATACAGATACGTTTCTCTTTGAGCCGTGTCAGTCTGTGCACAGTTCATCTGAGTCTGGAACAAAGCTACATCCTGTTTACTACTTCTCCAAACTGCTAGAACAAAATACTACTGAAGATTGAGTTAGATGGTTCAGACCTCGTCCATTTCCTCTGCACAGTCGGTGTAGCTAGCTGAAGCTAACATAAGAGCAACTCAAAACAAAGAGGGTGGAGATAAAATAATAATAATGCATTGGTTTAATACAGCACTTTATTTGGACCCTCAAAAACATCAAAAGCTTCACATGTTATTATTCTTTGACTCCATACACTGCAGTGAAAGCCACAGCTGCCATGAGGCACACTGGCAGAAGCAAGGAAACCAACTATTCATACACACACCATACTCATTCTAATGTGGGGGAAGTGTCTTGCCTAAGGACACAACCACAGCTTGGCACTTAATAGCCGCAGCCGCTCTACTGTAGCACCTGCTGTTCCCAGAGGTCTCCCATCACAGTACTGACCAGACACTGCCCTTATAAAGTGACAAGCTGTTAGAATGAGTCTGGTGTGTGTGAATGGTTGGTGGTGGTCAGAGGGGCCGATGACACAGACCGGTTGCCTCGTTTCTGTCAGTGTGCCCCAGGGCAGCTGTGGCTACAGTAGGAGTTTATCACCACCGTTTTTGGAGAGAAAGAATAATGATGTGAGGAGACTTTGAGTGTCCACAAAACACTGCATAAAAATTATTATTATTTCAGTCTGAAACATGTAACAGTCTCAATATTACTTTAAACGACCAAAATTATGCACAAAAGTTTGTTAAATCATAATCTAACGCGGTTTGACTGATTTATGTTTGTGAAGATGAAGAATCAAAACAAGGAAGTGCGTCGCTCCGAGCTCAGAATCAAAACAGATTCTGTAGATCAGAGAAATGACTCACAGATAAAGAATCCACACATTTACACCCATTACTCTCACAAAAATAACAGTTTGAAGAATCCAAATCTCTGCTCATTTCACTCAGAAAACAACTGATCTTTCTCTTTATCTCGTGAAGCAAAGAGAGCGAGGTGTGTGGGAGAGTTTGTGACATTTCTGTAATAAAAAAAAAAAGGCCGGGGGTTTTATGTTTTGGCCCATGACACAGAAACAGACAGAAGTGGGTCAAGTGGGACTGGAACCACAGCCACTTCAGCCTTTTTCTGCTCTCTCTCTCTTTTCTACTTTGCAGATGAATCACTGAAGCTCCACAGATTTACCTCATTCTGGCTGAGGATTTGTTTGGACTCGAGAATCCCTGGCTCAAGAACTGAAAGATCCATCAACCGTCACAGCAGGTGCATCCTAAAACACACAAAAGCACCGCCACATTTCATTAACATAAAATCAAAGCCTTGAGACAGACTTCCTCCCACACTTAAGACTTGAGAAGAAGTTTGATTTGATTTGGAAGCTGTTCGTTAAAGGAGAAGTATGTCCAAATGTGGCCAAAAGTGGTAAGTAATTAATCTTTATTTATATACCGCCTTTCACAGACCAGAGTCACAAAGCGGTTTACAATTGTTTTTTTTTGGGCATTTGTCCTCTCACTCCACACAGAGATGGGAGCGGGGTACTGCAGCCTCCCCCACTCTCCCTGACTCAGGTTGCCAGATATGCAGACGAATCCTGGGACCATAACAGATGAATAGCCAAGAGTTTTGTAAACAACAAATCTATAACCAACACCTTTTTCACAAAGATAGAAATCCTGGTTTTATTCCTTGTTTTGTCGCTGACCCATGATTTGAGACCTTTTTTAGTTCTGCGGCCACATATGAAAGAATGAGTGAATGTGGAAGAATGAGTGAATGTGGAAGAATGAGTGTGGGATTGAAACCTCTATCTGTTGCCAACGACTCTGTACAGAGGAAATGGTTCGCGGCCAGACAAAACTCTTGTCTATTCAGCTGTTATGGTCCCAGCTGGATCCGTCTGCATATCTGGCAACCTGAGTCAGGGAGAGTGGGAGAGGCTGCAGTACCACTTTTGGCCACACTTTTACAGACGGCTTGTTTTAAACTCTATCTTAAAATCTGAAAATCTTCCTTATACAACTATAGCAGCACAGACACATTCTTCCCACAAACAGACGTATGAAAAAGCCCAAGCTAAATTATATATTTGTTTATTTTTTTGTTGTTTCTATCGTTCAGAAGCCCGTTCTCCCGTGGCCTCTCGCTTGTTGTTAATCGGATGTTGTTTGGCCCAGCGTGAAATGGCCTGCTCTGATTGTATTTAGCAGCTGACAGACTTATTATTGCCATCCAGGTAATCAGCCCATCGTTCCTGAACCTGCTACGATCCAAGGTGCCACCTGCTAATTGGCAAACGCACAACTGTAAAAAGGTGACTGTAATAAAGAGCCGTCTCTCTCTCTCCGCTGCTCGGCAAAGATGAGCTTGTTCTGCTGTTTGGCCTTCGCTTCCATCCACACCAAAGCAGGTTAATTGCTTTGGCCTGGTTTGTAATAGCATAAAGTTTATTAACTGGGCGACTTAATCCTTTTTTTATACTCTTGTTGAAAACAAAAGTGAGAAAACAAAGGCGTGTGGGACGTGTTTACAGCTTTGATATTTAGCTGAGCGATGAAAAGGGGAGAAGAAATCAGGTCTTTCCTCCCCGCTACTGTCAGACTGTACAATGAGAACTGCTGCGCCTGAACGTGGCATTGCAAATGTATTTAGTAAATACTCCAATCATGTGCAATGCGGCAATATCAGAATGTCCCTTGAAAGTCTATAAATATCATTTGGACAACATTATTTGTGTATTGTCAGTACGGCGGTCATTGGTGGGGGAATGTCTCATTGTTAGACCACTGTTGTAAATATGTGTTTTAGTGCTAGGCCTATTTTACTCATTCTGTAGAATGTGTTGCACTCTAGGGGAAATTATCATTAGCTACACTCTGTACGTGTCGCATCAGCTGAATCTTTCATAATGTAACTATGTATGACTACATTGTCCCTGTCAAATAAATAAATAAATAAATAAATAAATAATAAAAAAAAAATATATTCAGAACCATTTTAAACACAAAGGCTTCTACAGCTCGAGCTTGTTGTAAATGTGGCTCCGGTCATTTCTCTGTCTCTGGAGAATGAAAGAAAAAGTTCGCTATCTAACTTAAGCTTGAGAGAATTGATGAAAAAACTCGTTTGGGCATGTGTGAGAGGCCTAATAGCACTGTAAGGATATTTAAATCTGACAAAAATCAAAAAGTGTAATATATGACGTTTACACGCTTTTAATATGTATTTACTACTGATGGCACAAGACTCAAGGTGATATATCTTATCAGCTCATAAGCCCTGGCCTGGGTTAGGGCTGGGCTGCACACACTGAGCAGAGGAAGTGAAACTACTACATTTTGTTGCTTATCTACGGACATCTTTGTATGTGCGAGTTTAAAGCCCTGAACTTTATACACCGTGTGAGACACCCTCATAAATGTGTTGCATTGCAAAACTTGTGCAA